TGATTGAACGGCGGAGCAGACTCGATGGGCCAAATGGCCTAATTTCTGCTCCTATGTCTTATGGTCTTCACACCTCCATGATAATCATCACACTGGTGCCCTGCAAGGCAGCGTACTCAGCCCTCACTATACTCCTTTATGCATTTACGACTGTGTGACCGAATTACGCACTAATTCCATTTACAAGTTTGCTAACACCACCACCATTGTAGGTCAGATCTCAAACAATGATGAGACAGAATAAAGAATGAGATAGCAGCGTGGTATTAAGACAAGAATCACTCCGTCAACATCAGGAAAATGAAGGAGTTAGTTATTGATTTCCGGAAGTGAAGTGGAGGGCACGCTCCTGTCTGCATTAATGGTGCCGAAGTGGAGATGGTCAACAGCACCAAGTTCCTGGGAGTGATAATCACTAGCAATCTGTCCTGATCCAACCATGCTGAAGTACGGTCAAGAAAACTCAAATGCTGCAACTTCCTCAGGATGCTAAGGAAATGTAGCATATCCATTTTTAAATGCACCATAGAAAGCATCCTCTCTGGATATATGACAGTGTGGTATGACAACTGTTCTTTCCAAGACTGTTAGAAACTACAAAGAGTCATGAACACCGCCCAGTCAATCACACAAAGCAGCCTGCCATCGATATTTAGCACTGCCTCAGGAAAGCAACCTCTGTAATCAAAGACCCCTCCCACCCTGGTTATACTCCCTTTCACCCTCTTCTGTCAGGCAGAACATATAAAAGTTTGGATAGACATATGAACAGATTCAAGAACAGCTTCTTCCCTGCTGCAATCAGACTTTTGAACAGACCTCTTAAATGTTAATGTTGATCTCTATCTGCACCCCGCAGTCTCCTTTGTTACCCTGATGCACTTGTATGGTATGATCTGCCTGTACAGCACACAAATCTACACTTTTTCACTGTATTTTGGTACACGTGACAGTAATAAATCAAATTAATTCTGGTGTGATTCTAAAAAGGAAGACCTGTAAGCTTAAAGCAAGAACTTGATTAGACATGGGCTATAATGCCACTCATGCCAGTTAACAAGCATCTCAGAACAGATGAAAGTCATTATTTCACCATATCTTTAAAGCATTGCTATCGGCAAGCTCTTCTCTATCAACATCCTGCAGGCCACCCAAATCTGCACCGTAGTTGGAGGAGTGTCTCACAAATTGAGTACTTTGCAATGAATAGCTCACCTCCTGAAGCCTTCAAGATGTTTGGATGGGTACTGCTGCTATAAAACGAACGAAGCTTGGAACTGTCAAGGACAGACTATCAATTATAAGTGCACAATAGCTGAAATACATACAATCTGCAGGATGCGTTGTAACTACGCACCAAAACCATTTTGCTTGCACCTCCATCCTTTGCAATTTCTATCACCAAGTACTACAGCAATGATGCTATGGGAACATTATCACCTTAAAGTCACAAACAACTAGACCAGAACATAAATTAGCACTGCTTCATTTGGTATTCTGGAATTCCCAATACAAATCATAAGAACTCTAATAATTAAATGGACATTGTCACCCATTTCTCACAGCAACTAAAGTTTGAGTGACAAATGTCACGATCGCATCACCCGTATCGTAAGATCAAGTAAGTTGGACACAAGCGAAAAACAAAGACCAACTTGAAATTCAAAGAGCTTTGAAAATTAAACAGTATATTTCCGTCAAAAGTAATTGTTTTGATTTTTTCAGGAAGAAGAAGAATACGGCAGATAGAGTATATAAAGACAATTATTAATTCAAGATAACGTTAGAAGGTTCAAAGGACTATGTTTAATTGAATTGATTAGGACAAAATTGTAATTGATTCTAGAATTCTGATAAACATATGTTGACACAGGGCTGGGGGACTACCAAAAAATATTTTCCTTGCTGCAGAACTACAAGTATGAGAGTTACTCCTGCAGAAAGCAAAAATATTTTGTTTATAATGTGGAAACAAACACCAGTGCCACAGCTAAGTCAGACTGTACACATATTTTGCATCATACCTCAGACTGATTCCTCAATCCTAAACCAGGGATACTGTAAAAAGAAAAAAGACACACAAAGACATTACTTTGCTCTGGCTGAGATTGGCTAGCTCAATAGAGAACAGGGATTCCACCTAGGACACAGCAGAGTGTACACACCAACTTACACTGTTAATGCAGCAAAACCTCCCATGGTGCTTCACAGGTGCATTCCCAAACATGATTTGACACCAAGCTACCCAACAAGGTATTAGAGTACATGGCCAAAATTAAAGGCAAAATTAATTTTCTTCTGTAAATACTTTGGCAAAGAAAAAAAGCGTACTTCCTCTAGTTAGCCTCTGCCTTTCACCAGCTGAAGCTTGAGAAAGCTAGATTTTTGCTTTTGGTTTTAATGCAGCTGTTTGGCACTAAAAACAATACATTAATCAATACCAGAACTTTCTGCATTAACTGGAGTTATTTTCTTTATTTGTTACATATTTCCACAACATTGTAATGTGTAATTCGGTTTGTTAAAAGTAAATTTTGTCACAGAGCAGATCACATTTTAACCGCACATATTTATCTCCTCTACCGGTTAATACTGGAGTTCATTTTTGCCCCCCAAGCTGTCTTGCCTTATACTTAATGAGATTTTAAAACAAGTAGCAATTAGTTACTCACAGGAAAGGATCCATTTTTGAATTGGCTTCAATTACAGTCATTCACCCTTTGACATTTCTAGCCTCACTACTTCCTTTTATCTCATATTTCGTTCACAGTAAAACTGCCTACAAATATTTTGCCTCCCTTTCATGCTTCTGGTCTCCTAAACAGAACTCTAGAACAGACATGTTAAAGGAGTAACTGTCTACTGATTTCAGATCAAGAGGAAGCTCTGCCACTTCTCACACATTGTTCAAAACAAAAAGCCTTTTACATATTAGCCCATGTTTCCTTTCCACAACCTTGTACAACTTTCTCTTTTTAATCATACTATTGAAAAGATATCCAGGTCATGGAGGAGTGTAAAGGAAATTAAATGGAATGGTATGATAGATGGAAGACTTCAGTTACATTAAGAGATCAGAGCTGTCAAGGCTCGGGTGATATTTGGTAGAGATGCTCTAATTGTTTAGAGATTTTATTAATGAAACAAGAAGTTATCACAGAGACAGAATGGTAAGTAGCCAGCAGATACACATTAGAGTAACTGGCAAAAGAACCAGAGGCAACATGAGACAGAATGCACTGAATGAAGAATGGTTGAAGCAGATACAGTAACTTTAAAAAGGAAATGAATGAATACCTGAAGGGGTAAAATTTGTTTGGCTATGGGAAATGAACAAGTAGAAATTGAACTAATTGGATAGCTCTTTGAAAGAGCCTAAGAAACAAATTAGACCAAACGGCCTCATTCTATGCTGTATCGTTCCATTCTGGATGATTGCCAAGGCCGATTTATTTGTAGTTTTTTTAATCCAAGTAAACTCCAGAGTTCAATCTTCAAATACCAGTTCATTTTCCAGAACCCCATGCAATTAAAACAGAACTTAAATCAATAGCTTTGGTAATGCTCTTTTATTATGTAATGTTCTTCCTGTAATCTCACTTCGCTGGAGAAAAGACTTGTTGAACCATTTAGCCCATCACAGCCCTTGGACATTAAAAGCTTATCTTCCTCCAACAATGTACAGAATTTAAGAATCTTGAATTGGCATTACACTACATATGCTTCTCAATTCACTTTGTTCTATCCTATCTGTTCCAGTCTTATTAATGGCCAACTCAATGTGCTATAGTCTTTTGCTTGGGTGTTTCAATGTTATACAAAACCTCAAGTATTAAACATACAGATACTTCAACAGGTGCAACGAAAAATGAGGAAAATCAGATCTTAGTGAAAGTGTCATCAGACCTCAGAAGAAATTGTTTCAGTCAACTCCTTTGAATCAGCAAAGAAACATTATTGGCTTTTCAGCTTTTATCATGTTAACATTAATTGCAGAAAACACTGAAATTAAGTTTTGCCATAAAAAATAAAGAAAAAAAAGTGTAGGCTGAAAACAAAATGTAGACTGTTCAAAAGTGATAATGAGTTGTGATTCACTTCAGACTCAAAATGTTTTGTTTTGTGCTAATTCAATAGAAATGTGAACTAATAGGATTGCAACTCAATACCATAACCTCAAAAATACAGTTTAAAATACTCTGATCCATACAGATATAAAGTAATGCTCCATACTTTTTCTAAATACAGCACATTCCTTTCCTACTTGCAGAGGATTTCAAAATCCACATTTAACACACAAATGCCTAACGTACTTTATCTTCTAGACCAAAGCACTTAATTGCCATCCTACAGCATATTTCCCGAACAACAAATATGCACACCCATATCAACATAGTATATCCGTAACTTAATCTATAACCTATTTGGTAAATACCAAGCATGCTGCGGATAGCAACAGAAGCCAAGTGTACACGACAGCTTCAACACGTGCTAAGGTAACTTATTAAGTTAATCAGTACATGAGGCCATAGATATACCATTTTAACTTGGCTACACCCTGCAAAGCCGTACATTGCGACTAACTGATTCTCGTAAATGGACGGAGTACTTCTACCACAAAGAAAAAAAGCGCTGACATACTTCGGAAGTGGGTTTGACAAATCTCATGGTTTTAACCAGATACTCACAATGCACAAACATTTGCAGGAAGAGACACAGAGGAAAATGCCGTATTCCATCTACATGGGAATTAACAACTTTGAAGAGCATCTCCAAAAGCGGGGCGGGGGGGGGGGAAATCAAAATACTTTCAATTTTAAGTGGCATGGCAAGGCAAGGCAGCAAAACTGAAGATAATTGGACAGCATCGTCTTAACGCCTTGTATAAGACTGTGCGTGTGAAGGGGGACATCATTCGGTCCTAAATGAAAACGGAGACACCAGAGGGCTTAGTTAATTCCTCACCACCATCCCACACTTCATTGTATTGGCTGAGATACCTTAATAACATTCTCGAAAATGGTGTCCCGGAACTCCTCCAGGGCTTTGCTGTCGAAGTCTTTGCCGTGAATGATCCTCATCTGTTTGAGGAAAGTGCTTTTGCCGCTCTCGCCGGCCCCGAGCAGCAGAATCTTGACCAGGCGCCGGACGTAGCGCCTCTCCCGGGCCAGCAAGGCGTCAATCTCCCGGCTCCTGCGGCGCTGTGCCCGCTCGCTCTGGCTGGACTGACAGGCCGGGAAACAAGCGCCCAGACGCTGCACCAGCTCGGCCATCCTCTCCGTTGGCCCGCACCTCAGTAACAACACAAACGTTGGCACGCACAACCCTTCACCGACCTTTGTTTTTTTTTTGAGAAAAAATAAACAATGATTCCACCGCAAGTTTTTTTTTAAATTTTTTTTTAAAAAAAAAGAAACACGCTTTAAATCAGTCCGTCCGCCCTGCACGATCCCTGAGCCGGACCCACCGACTCCCCATTCATTGCCCAACTGACGGACGAAAACTTCACCAGAGGGGAGGGAGGGAGGGACTATGCGCGCAGTCCCTGCGGGCTATTGGATATCACGCCTATCAATCAGAATCAATCTAACCATGTACTGGTCAGTCACGTCGTCAATCGAAGGTACACGCCCCACCCTCCTGCCCTCTCTAACTTCTGACTGGCCAGCCCGCCCGTCAATCAGGAACTTTTCAAAAAAACGGGCGTTGCCCCGAAGACGCGAAGCTTCTCCTCGGGATTGGTTACCTCCTCCGTGAATTACATCAAATCAGATTCCACCCACTGGCTGGATCCTTGTTTTGTTATGCTTTCTCGAAGAAGTGAAAGTGCACGCTAGTATTAATTGTGTTTATTGTTAATTTGTCCGGTCCGGATATCTTCAATAAGGGGGTTTCACTGTTCGTTCACCTCAACAAATCAGTTGGATGATGCGGGCACGGCCTGCGCCACACCCCGAGAAAAGGCCCCGTCTCATGCTAATGTCAATCACCGATGCGCTGCTGCCCATTGGTCTACAGTCTGAACGGTCTAGCCATTGGAAAAGTCGTACGGCCGCCGGTCATGGGGTTAGGAGCTCTCAGTGGTAGGTAGCCTGTCAGTCATTTAAACCCGCCTCCTCCCTCCCTGTCTCCTCAGGGGTTGGGAAGCAGCTGCATCTGAGGGTCTAAATGATGCTGTTCCAAAACATCTGCACTGTGTTTAACATGCCTCCCGTTACTCCTGAGAGCACAGAGGCGATCGTAAATAATTCTCCAACATTTTACTTGTTTTCTTTTTGACAAGAGAGTTTCAAGTCTTCTGGTTGGGACTGGAAGTATGTAGATATTTTCAATCAATTTTTCCAGATTTGTTGCGATACAATTCTGGAATAGATGGGACCTACCCTTAGGCCTTCTGGCCAGGTCCTTAAAACCCACCTTTGTTTATGCACAGCCAATCACACAGGACCAGCTAATGGGAAGATTGTAATACAAAAGGCATGGGTGGGAGAGTCTCCGTGGGCTGGTGGATTCTTTTCCTGTTGTCTGTCAGCGTTGCCAAAAGTGCCTGTTTTGATAGGTTGTTTCTTTAAAAAAAGGGTGTTCATTTTAGTACCGTTGGTAACACTTCTTTCTGTGTCAGAAGGTTGTGGAGTTCCCAAGGCTTGAATATATGATCAAGACTGCCATTCCAGAAGGAATTTTGCATTATCAGAGATGTAATTACTTTTCCGATGACCGTTCATCCGAGGCTCCGACGACCGTCTCAGGTGCACATAAAAAATGCCACACCACAAATAACACAAGAGCAGGGAACATATCCCCGAAACGTCAGCCTCTCTGCTCCTATGATGCTGCTTGGCCTGCTGTGTTCATCCAGCCCTGCACCTTGTTGTCTCTGCTATATAAATGTAATGGGCTACTGACAATGGGATCCCAACCCAATCAATGGGCAGACTCCATGAGTAGGGGCCACTGGATCCTGCAGCAGGAAAGGAGTGAACCTTGCGGCAGGGATGGGAAGGGTACAGTAATCCGACCCCGCGCGGCATGGAGCGGCGTTTACCCACTTCGGGAGTGCAGCCTCCCCGATGACCCTCACTCACCTTCCCAGCGGAGACAGCATCCTCCCCAACCATCTGTCAATCACAGTGACTGACAGCTCCCGCGGCCAACCGACAGCCGCGCCGCAAGTGATAGCCAATCGGAGTGAAAGAATGGGCGGGGCCACCGCCCGGACGTTGATTATCAACACACTCGGGAACTGCGAGGAAAAGGCTTCCGGAGTGATCTCCCGGGCACTTGCGGTTGATTCCGCCTCATTTTTTTTCTGTGATCTTCGTTTGAACAGTGTACACTTAAAAAAATGCTCACCTTGAAGTTTGTGACGAAAAGTGGCTGGAAAAATCGGTTCAGGTGTAAATATAAGCAATAGTTGACAGGAAAGGGGCACACTTTGTGCTGGTAATTTATTATCTGCCTGATTGAATTAGGTCTGTTTTGCTCTGTCAGTGCAGCTATGTGCAGTTATTCTGGACAGTTTCCTGTAAAATTACAGATGGCCCTGCAGGATTGCACAAAGTATATTGAGGATCAGAGATTAGTGGCACTTGAGTGGCATTTTTAAGAATGAATCTCAAGATCTCCCTCGAAAAGGCAGTATAAGTGGCAAATGAGACATAATGTATAGGAATGAACTTCCATTCATCTCTTCAGCCAGAGCATCAGCTTTCATGGCTTCACTTCCCACTCCTGAACATTTACCTCCAGTGTCATCAACTCAGTATGAAATATCTGATCCCCTCTTCGAATCGAAATCTAGCATCTGCAACACTCAATTGTTCAACATTTTCATTTTAATCAGTCCCTCTTGTCCAGAAAAAGTAGGAAATTATTTATAAAGGGGAGGCAATGGCCTAGTGATATTACTGATGGAGTATTTGTTCAGGGATCTGGGAGGTGGTTTGGGGACCTGGGTTTGAGTGTTGCCAGGGTGGTTGATGCAATTTGAATTCAAAGGAAAAATTCCAGAAGCAGGAGTCCGGTGGTGATAACGTAGCGGTCTTTGACTGTTGGGGGAACCTGTCGGGTTCACTGGTGCCCTTTAGGCAAGGAAATCAACCACCCTTACCTTGTCTGGCCTGCATGTCACTTTAGACCCACAGCAATGGGGTATTTGTATGTTATTAAGAAATCCTTTCTGATATGAAAGTTGCTGGGAAATCTTCAGCATAATGATGTTGAGATGTAGTGTGATTCCTTTGTTGTAGTTACTAGTGTGATCACAGTTTCACTATTTTAAAACTAGTTAACTAACTTCCAGAAGAATCTATGGTTCTGATCAATGGAATATTTGCATTTGTCAAGTTAATTCATGCAATGAAAATTGTTTGATACTTTGTTCAGCTTGTAGAATTATTGAATGTTTATATTATAGATAGACACCATTTGATCTGTTGTACCTTTATTTTTTCTCCCCATCACCAAATGGTCTGTGATATATTTTTTCATCTATTAACCACCAAATGTGTTTTCCATCTGACCTATTCTACCTTTACTTACTCTCTGCAAAAGCACTGCAGCCGGTCCCATTTGTGTGCTGTAGCTCTCCAGATATTTTCTCTTCAGCTAATTTAATTCCTCTTTGTCAACCATAATTTAGCCTGCCTTTTCCAACTCTCAGGCACTGGATTCAAGATTCTAAACACACATTGTTTTAAAAGAAAAGCTTTTTTTTCCCCCTCATTTCACTTCTCACTACTTTGCCATCACCTTGATTTTGATGGCCTTTAGTCCTTGATCTTTCTGCTGAGAGGAACAGTTTTTCTTTCTCTCACTCCCACTCTTTACCCATCTATCCTATGATTTCCTACAAGTCAGGAAAACAAACACAGCTTCTCCAGTCCAAACGGGGGACTTCAACCCTGGAACCATCCTTATAAATCTCTGCACCTCTCTATACGCTTCACATCCTTCCTAAACTGTGTGTCCAGTAATTGGACATACCACTTCAACAGATTTGCACCAGAATTTTATAAGGTTCATCATAAATTCCTTGTTTGTTTGTTAGAAAGCCTAGTCTTCACATACGTCTTAATCATTTTTTTTTCAAACTCCACTGCCACTTTGAATAGTTTATACGCATAGTCCCCAAGTCTTCGTTCATACACCTGCTGTGGATTCCATTTTCTTTTATGTCTTTTCTCCAAAAGGTATCATTTCACATTTCTCCACATTAAATTTCAGTTGCTGTGTTGGTTTATAAAAACATGAGAGACATGGATAGGGTGAATAAACAAAGTCTTTTTCGTTGCTTGGGGAAGTTCCTAACTAGAAAGCATAGGTTTAAGGTGAGGTGAAGGATTTAAAAAAGACCTGAGGAGTAACATTTTCATGCAAAGAGTGGTGCTTGTGCAGAACAAGCTGCCAGAAGTGGTGGAGGCTGGTACAATTACACCATTTAAAAGGCATCTGGATGGGTAAATGAATAAGAAGGGTTTAGAGGGAGATGGGCCAAATGCTGGCAAATGGGATTAGATCAGATTGGGATGTCTGATTGGCAAGGACAAGTTGGACCGAAGGGTCTGTTTCTGTGCTATATGACTCTATGACCTACTCTGTCAAGTCCTCTAAGCTTTTTTTCACTTTTCAATGAGCTCACTTGTTAATATTGGACAATATTACCATGTTCTACCTTTTCTTCTTGGAGTTGGTTAACTCGGTGGCTTGCTTGCAATACAAAGTCTTGGCAACAATATGGGTTTAAATCCCATACTGGTTGAGCTTACCATGATGGACTCTCCTTCTCAACCTCTGCCCTTGCATGGGGCGTGATGATCGCAAGGGGCGTGATGATCATCAGGTTAAACCACCATCAGTCATCTCTCTGTCTCTCATGAAAGAGCAGCTTTATGGCCCAGTAGGGCTATGGCAACTTTACCTCTTTACAATATCTTTCCTCATGCAAAACCGCTGTTCTTCCAAGAGCTATTCCAGTGAACTTGTCTTGCACAAGTATGTCCTACCTCCAGTGAAGAAACCAAAACTAAACCCCACTCCAGGTGTGATCTAATATAATTGCTCAAAGGTAACATTGTTTTCACTTACACTACAGGCAAACATACCATTTGGCTTCCTAATAACTTGCTGTGGCTGCATGTTAATTTTGGTGACATGTGCATAAGCACACAAATTTCTCAGAATACCAATATGCATTAGGCTCAGACTTCTTATAAAATATTCTGATTGTGCCAAGTACAAAAGCAAAATATTGTGGTTGCTGGGAATCTGTATTAAAAACAGAAAATTCTGGAGTTATCCAATAGATCTGGCAGCGACTTATTGGTTGACCTGAACTCTATCTTCTGTCTTTGGAGCTGACACTTTGCAGCATTTTCCAGCATTATATTGAGGGGACAGGTAGAATCTCTGCAGCCAGCTTTGGACTCTTGTATTTACCAGCATATTGATGCTCAGTGTATTTTCAGAGAATCTGTGATTTTAT